GAGGAGGAGGAGGAAAAAATAGTTCCAGGATAATTTGCTCGCAGCTGCGGGTGGAGAGGAGAAATGATTTACGAGTCAAACGAGAAGCTCTGATTCGTTTTGCTGTTTGGACGGTTTGGGGAGAGGTGCGTGTACGCGTGGATCGGCGGTGGATAACCGGAGTTGTTGACACGGTGACAGGTGGGCCCGGTGACGTGTGTGGGCCATGCCCTCCGGCTCTTGGCTAGGTTGGCCACGCTCATGGGGCCGATGGTGACGGTAGGTGGATGAGAGAGAGAAACAGAGGGAGATGTTGATCCCTTCCCTTTGATTCATGGAAAAGAATGGAATATCTCGTGCGAGAATTCGAGTAGTATTTCTGGTGGTATTCCCGCGAACTCAAGGCTCGCGGAAAGGAAATGGCGTGGCCGCCTCCCTCCCTCCGTCCACGCCGCCCGTTCGCCATCCGACGGCCGCGTTTGCACTCGCGCATTTTCCGCCTTGGCCGTCAACGTAATGAGCTCGGACGGACCGCGTGCTGCCTGCTGCGTGCGTCTCATAAGTTTCCACCCACCACGTTCTCCGCCACGACTCCCCAGCTCTCAAATTCCTCAAACCATGGCCGCCGCGGCCTCACGGCACCTCTGCTCCGCCACGGCGCTGCTGTCCCCCTCCGCCGCCGCGGCGCCCATCCGCCAGAGGGTCGGCTACGGCTCCTCCTCCAACCGCCGGTGGCTGTGCCGCCGGTGGGCCCACGGGCCGGATGCCGCGTCCCGGATCCGGCGCCTGACGACTCGCTCGAGGACAGCGAGGGTGAGCTGCGCCTATTCCACCGGCGGTAAGGGCCGCCTCGCTGGGATTTCCGTTTCACTCGGACGCCAGCCATGTCTTCGTTTCTCGTATGATTAATTAGTCCTCAGCGCAGGACGTCCGTTTTGCCTGGATTCTGTCTGTTTGCGTAGAGCAATGGGGTCGTGTCTGGGCATCCTGGGATACAGTGGCCGTGCGCCCAACACACAGACGCATCCTTTGGTCCCATCCTGTCCGTCTCCATTTTCAAACACCAACTTTCGAAATACCACGCCCTAGTTTCAGACCAGCGTTCCTAGTTCACGCCGGCAACACAGCCAGCGGCCTACACGTCCTCGCCGGCAACACAGCCAACCTCCAAAATGAATAGTTTTGTTCGCCGGCAACACAGCCAGCGGCCGGCAACACAGTCAGCCTCCAAAATGAATTTGTTTCTCGCCGGCACACAGCCAGCGGCCGGCAGCCATGCCAGCCTCCAAAAAAAGAACGGCCATGGCCGATCAGTCGACCTAGTTCAGGCCGTCGGCGTCGAACATCTCCTTCTGCTTGGCCTCGAACCAGCTCCTCGTCTTCTCGCTCATGATCGCAAGGGCCACCTCATTTGCTTTGGTTGCGGCATTGGTGGCCTCGATGTCGAGCTGCCTCTGCCTGGCCGTGACATTGCCGGCCTCGATGTCGAGCTGCCTTTGCCGGGACGCCTCCTCCATGTCGATCTTCCTCTTCTTGGCCGCCTCCTTCATCTCAAGCTTCTTCCTTTGAAGCTCTAGGTATTGCTTCATTTGCTCGGCCTTGCTTTGTCGTTTCTTCTCGTCCCTCACATCCTTTTGAGACATCATGGCATGCAAAGTCTCATGCAAGGCCATGGATGAGGCATCACGTATGTCGTCCACCTTGGAGTTGGTTTTGCCCCTCGGCCTCTTCAGCGCCTCACCATCTCCACCTCCGGCCAACGCGGCCGTCTTCTTGCCTCTCTTCCTTTGAAGTTCATGGTATTGATCCTTGAACTTAGGGCAATTGTTGATGATCGTCCAACAATGCGTAAGAGTGAATGGCTTGTCATTGTGCCGGGCCTTGAATGCTTCCAAAGATTGAAATGCCTACACCACATGATCAACAACAATTGAACATGCGAACATATACAAGGCCGAAGTCTCATGGCCGTAGCAACGAAAGAACTAGGATGAGGAGAGCATACCATGTCCACAATGCCGAGACCACTCACGGGCCGTGTTTCAACGCTCTCAAGTGCGGCACAATACTTGTTGCACTCTTGTTGGATGAACAACCACCTCTTTTGAATCGAGGTGATGCCACGGTCGCTCGTAATTTGGTAGGGCTCAAACATCTTTCTTTCATGGAATGTTTTGTGGACTCTCGTCCAAAAAACAAGGCCCTTTTGTTGCGTGCCAGTCCTCGGATCTTGGCTAATCTCCATCCAACATTGGCAAATCAACTTGTCCTCGTCTTGTGAATATGAACCCATGCGAATGCTCTTCCTCCTCTTTTGTGCTTCCGCTCTTTGGGTGAGCTCGTCGATGAACAATGGCTCGCCCCCAATATCAATATCATTGCCTTCTTCTTCATCACCATCACCTTCGCAATAGATATCATCGTCTTCATGCCACGAGTCAGCATGGTCGTGGGCCTCTTCATCGGCAACGTACTGGGCGCGGCCATCCTGACTTTGGGTCTCCTCGGGATCGTAGGCACCGCCATGCCCACCCTCGTAGATCACATCCTCCATGAACTGGTTGTAGAAGGGGTCGTCGACCGTTGGCGTTGGTGTTGGCATTCCGTCGAACAAGACGCGGGGGGACGGCATGGTGCCCGTAAACGGTGGTCGTGCTTGCTTTCTTTGCATCTCGACGGACGGCCGGCCGCCGCTGCTGGACCCCGGAGTGACGTTGAGGTCGATGACGGCCGAGGGGCGCGGGGTGGAAGGCGCGATCACGCCAACGTCCGGCGACCCCGAAAAACGGGTTTGGCCGTCGTGCCTTGGCGGAGGAAAGCCGGGTGACATAGGCGTGGTCCGCGACGTCGACGACGGGCAGTGCTGAGGCCTGGCGATCGACGAGCCTGTGCTCGCCGGGCCGACGGCTGCACCAGACAAACCCGCCGGACGGCAAAGGCCAAGCATGAGGAGGGTGTGCCCTTTGTTGATGATGACCTCCTTCTCGTCGACCTCGGCCTTGTGCCGCGCGGCCTCCACCGCATCGCGCTCGGCGGCGAACTTAGCCGCGGCGGTCTTGCCCTTGACGGCTGCCCTCTGGTTCCTCCTCTTCGCCGATTCCGCGTCCATCTTGGCGAGCTCCTCCGGCGTGCATTCCGACCGCGGCTTCCTTGGACCCTTGGCCGCCTTCTTCTTCACCTTTCCGGGCGGGTCGACGGCCAGGCCGCCGGAATTCGGTGGTGCGTCGGCCATGGACGGGGGAGGGTGGTGGGCGGGACGTGGGGGGGGGGGTAGCGCCAAACGGGGCGCGGGGGTTTTGCTTTGTGCCACCGACGGGCGGGCCAGGGGAGGACAAGCGCGCTGTCCGTTTCACCCCAAAAGCCGCCCAAACTTGGGCCGGGGATGGGTCGAAAGGGGACAAAAAATGGACAAAAGTCCGTTTGCGCCCGCGCGCTGGGCCGTCTGGTTTGTCCCTTTTGCCCCAAACGGACGCACCCGGACAGGATGTGGTCGCGGGCTGGAGTTGGCCTTAGATTCGGGCCACTTGAATATGTTGCAAAGATGAACTGTATGACTTAGCAATCCCAATTCCTCGCTGTAAAATTCAACTTTATGTTCGGATCGGCCTTCTCATTCTGAAGTATATCACTGTTTGAGGATTGAAGCTCTGGAATGAAGCGTTCTCACTGCTTAGATTGGTTGTTGGTGTGTGTCAACCTGTGTGAGTTAATCGCTAATGTGCTACTTAGTGTCTAATGTACTATGCAGGAAAATACAGCCCCATGTTCAGTTCTTAGATTGCTTGTTCCATTGATAAACATAGTGGAAATTACTAGTAAGCATCGTATGCCTGGCCTCATGGTGTTATTTTGCTGCACTACTACACATTATAAAGTCATAGCGTCATAACTCACTCGCTCACTATCATGGTACTGTCAGACTGTCGGTTCATGCAAGCTGCACTAATGCGTGGATCCTTCTTTTTCAGAATATAGAAGAAGCAATTAGCTTAGTTAATCTTTGTGATTCACCTCAGTGAAGAGTGAAGACTAGTAGCTACCTACACACTTCTTTCACGTGTTTGGTTTTCTGAACTCCGTTAATTAATTTCATCTGTTTTTACTTCTTTGTGACTTTGTGAATTTAGTCTGCACACGTAGAGAAGATATGTAACAGTAGTGTTCTTTACATTTGTACAGCTGAAGCAATCACTGCATGTTCCTGGAACCAAAATGTCATCTGCAGTGATGTGCCTGTGCTTGTGGAGTTTTGGGCCTCATGGTGTGGACCTTGTAAAATGGTCCATCGAATTGTCGACGAGATTGCGGCCGAATATGATGGAAGAATAAAGTGCTATAAGCTTGACACTGATGATTACCCACAAACTGCAATTTCCTACAATATTGAGAGGGTTCCGACTGTTTTACTATTCAAGGATGGAGAGAAAATACATAGTATTACTGGAACTCTGCCAAAAGCCGTTTATGTGAGGGCCATTGAGAATTCTTTCTTAGAACAGTGACCATTTTGGTTACAACGTTATATTGTTACTTGGTCCAGATTCATATCCCATATACTTGATTTTTCACTGCCAGCTAGTGGAAAGAGTAGGGAAGGTAAAGTTGGAGTTACAACTTGAGCTTCTTGTTATCCCTTAGCTACACAACTTACTGTAAATATTGATGTAGTTCTGAAAAAAAAAGGATTGCTGGACCTCTTTATTTTACCTTGAGGGTTGTAATGAATCATGATTGTTATCATTGATGTGAAACAGGGACGAATATTTAAGGCCCTTAGAAATATCTTGTTAAATGAAGTCAAATTAAGATTTCCGTTATACTTTACTTTATGTACCTCACATTGTCTGTTTTTCTTCTTCTTTTGCACCCCTTATGTATCAACATTTTCGTGCTATTTTTCAGAGCTAGAGTAAATACTTAATCATTTAGTTCCTATATACAGAATCATCTAAGATCTAACCTATTCAAGTTTATCTTCTGAAAAGGTTTATCCCTGTTATGTCAGTGCAATTGTTGTTTCTGTGGGGCTGCTAATACCGAGCTAATTGTCCCAGGTAACTCTTCAAGGCATGTTTGATTAAACCTCTCCTATTATTCATTGTCTCTAATCTGTAATATATATCTAGACTTAACAGGCTAAACCTTGGTTATGATGCATAACTTTTATTTTATTACCCTTTAGTTTGCCTAGGGTGTAATATTTAGCTCTCGTTGGGCTGACAAAGAAGACCCACACACAAGGTAAAGGCTGGCGAAGAAAAAGACTAGAATATTGGCAAGTACTTTGGCAGGCGGTATCAACAGGCTGTTGCCATGGATTTTTAACCTTTCCATGCTGAAGACTAGTGCATAGTAAGTAGTTGAGAGTGGCTTGAGTGGAACCAATGGTAGGATACAATAGACTTGCGTTCCTTAGAGATTGAATTGCTTATTATTGATAATATCCAACTGAATTAATTCGATTATCTCATTTTTCGTGGACAGTAGCACAGTTGCAGCTGCTCCTACAGTGGTACTGTTTGGCTAGTGGCTACATGTATTTACCCTACCTTTCGGAATTTGAGCTATGTACAGTAGCCTTCTGAGGAGGTATAGCACAATAATATGATTGGAATTTCTGGTGATCACCAGAATGTTCAGGTAGACCTAAATGCAGCTGAACCACATCAAGTGCCACATGATGGCGATCAAAGTTCTGGTGATCGTCTGATGACTGCCTGACTTAAATCAATTTGCCGAAGTCTGTTTTTTCTCCAACGGTATTCAGTTTGGAGCTCTGAAGTTGTCTGAGCTTTACTTAAAATTCAGTCTAATGCTACACTTGGTTGTAGAAGGTACTGGAGTCTGGATTGAAGCTTTAGACGCAGGTGGTGCATCAGGTGCTTACACTTTTTTTCGGGTTTAGGACTTGGATCATTCATATGTACTGTAACAACCATCCACTTTGCCCTTTTCTGAAGTTTTATTTGTATCCCTCATGGCAATATCAATAACATCTGGAAAAGTAGACAATCACTTTTCATCATTTTTCTTATGCACAAATAATCTTTTTATGTATGGTGTATGCTGGTACCGATCACTGTTGTTGATGGAGAACATACCAGCCATTTGAGATTTCCAAACAAGCATGTAACAATGCTTATAATTTCACACCCTATTACATTTAGAGATTTACATATTTTGAAGCAAATCAAACTGGTCGAATATGTGTTACTAGCTCATTTTAGGCCAAATGTGATTTGTTGAGAAAAATGTGTACAAATTTATAAATTATTATAGAGGCTAAATACACTTGACATCATCAGTACCATACCCTGGTGCGCTTTTTCTCCTTTGCTTTCAGTCTATGTATTACTTCTTCTGGTCAGTATTATATTATTTATTGTTTTCGTATGGTCATCCTTTATTTCTGCTCCTGCTATGTTGGCAGGTCTTTCTCCTCACTGAGCAAATGCTGAGACTATTGGACTCCTGACAGCATGCTTTCCTCCAACCTCATTCCAGGTCAAGAAGCCATGGTTTCCAATGTAGCTGTAGTCATCTACTGCTCTCTTCACCTGGCTGACCTGCACGGTGACACTGAACCCTTGCTTGCTGCCTTTGCCTCCAAAGGACAGTGCTGACGGCGTCACCGTCACCTTCATCCCTGCCGGAGCCGTCACCGACATGCTGTACTTTGCTGCCGAGCCGGCGACGTTGGTCAGGACCCTCTTGAACGTCCGGGTGGCTGACGTCGTGTGGTTGAGGATCACCATGAACGATGGGTAGTTCAGGTCAAGGTTGGCACCGGCGGCGCAACTGGCGTTTCGCCGGCCGGTCACGGCCGCTATCTGCCGGCTGCTGTAGCGGAGGCCGCAGAGGAAGTTGACGTAGTCATCTGCCGTCGCGTCGTACACCAGGCCGGGGTCTGTGGCCTGGTTGGGGCTCACGTGGCCGCTGCCGTAGTCCAGAGGTGTCCCTGGTGATCGATTTGGCATGCTGACGATGACGTTGTTGGCGTTGTCCTTCACGTAGGCCGTGGTCATCATGGCCGAGCGGATGGCTGCCGGGCTCCAGTCGGGGTGCGCAGACCGCAGCAGGGCGACCACGCCGGCGACGTGCGGCGACGCCATAGACGTGCCGGAGACGAGCATGTACTTGGCGTAGAGCTTCTGCTTGCCGATCTCCATGATTTCCTTGTTGGGCACCCATGCCGCGAGGATGTCCACCCCCGGCGCGACGATGTCCGGCTTCAGGATCGCCGGGCTCATCTGGGTCGGCCCGCGGGAGGAGAAGTACGCCACGGCCGGTGCCGGCTTGACGCCGAGCTCCGTGCCGACGAACCGAATGCTCACCTTGGGCGCCTTGGTGGCCGTCACAAACTTCTGGATAGCGGCGCCGTCCGACGGGGTGACCAGCACCAGCGGCATGACGTAGTCAGTCGGCTGCAGGAATTCCTTCATGTTGCTGGCGGCGATCAGCCCGCGGCCGCCGGCGCCCTGCACCTCGTCCATCTGCTCCCTGAGGCTCTCGCCGGCTGTGCAGAAGACGTACTTCCCGCTCACCTCCTTGCGGCTCAGGCTGGAATAGTCGCACTTCTGCTTGCTCTTGTTGCCGTGGCCGTAGTAGAGGTCGGCGTCGGCGATCGGTGTGTGCTCCGGGTACACAGATTTGCCGTGGATGCTCTTGCCGCCGCTGCCGCTGCCGAGCGTGACGGTCGCCGTGAACTCCCTGTCGATGGTCGACGCGCCGACGGTGGTGATCCAGGGCGCGCCGTTCATGATGGTGTACCCGTCGGAGCCGTCGTTCCCGGCCGAGCACGTAACGAAGATTCCCTTCTGCATGGCGGCGAAGGCCCCGATAGCTATGACATTGGTGTCGTAGGAAGTTTCAGGGAAGCCCAGCGAGAGCGACATGACGTCGACGCCGTCGGCGATCGCTCGGTCCATGGCGGCCAGCACGTCGCTGGACGCGGACTCGAGGGTGTCGCCCGAGAAGACGGCCTTGTACATGGCGAGCCTGGCCATGGGCGCGATGCCGGTGGCCGTGCCGTTGGCGTAGCCGAAGTAGCTGGCGCCCTTGACGGCGCTGCCGGCCGCCGTGGACGAGGTGTGGGAGCCGTGGCCGTAGTAATCCCTGGCCGAGTCGTAGTCGTCCGGCGCGATGGCGAGGCCGCGCTGCTTGAGGGCCTTGCTGAAGGAGCGCGCCCCGATGAGCTTCCCGTTGCACATGGAGGCCTTGAAGGCCTTGCCGGCCTCGCACGCGCCCTTCCACCTCGCCGGCACGGCCTTGGTCGTCATGCCCGCGTCGCTGAAGCTCTCGCTCTCGGGCCACACGCCCGTGTCGACGATCCCCACGATCACGTCCTCCCCGTACTTGGACGCCGGCCAGACGCCGCCAGCGCCAGCGCCAGCGCCGCCGCCGGTGAGCCCGAGGAACTCGGGCGTGCGCGTGGTGTGGAGCCGCGCGTACGTCTCCGGGAAGGCGGTCACGTGCCCCTCCATCCTCTGTATCTCCGCGAGCTGCCGCGGGGTGAGCACCGCGCTGAAGCCGTGCATGGCGTGCGCGTACGTGTACAGGTGCTCCGGCGCCGCCTCCTCCTCCTTGCCAGCCAGCGACGACAGCACCGACGTGTACCAGCCCTCGTGCGTCGTGAACGGCGTCGGCATCGCCGACACGTCCATTTGCACGATGTACGGCCGCCGGTCGCCCTCTGCAGCCCCCGCCACACATGCCACCAAGAAGCTTACGCCAAGCAGAGGCAAAACCTGATGGTTCATCCTGTCAGATGTTTCAGCTCAGGGCAGAGCGTCTTCTCCTCTTATGCAGGCTGCGAGGAGCTAGAGTGAGCGTGAGTGGATGCCACAAGTGGAGGGCACTCGGAGGGCGCGGTGGTGGCACTGGTGGCAACCTGCCGGATACATTATATACATATTGGATTCCATGGAGGCCATGAGCCCCCCTAGAAAACTAGCCAAGAATCTTCTGAAGATCATTCTCTGGAGGAAAGCAGCTCAGACAGCAGGGCCCCGGGCCGTGCGGACGGGCGCCATGTTCCACCATGTATGTTGCAATCATTCGCGTCGGCCGTTGGCTAGCTTGGCGCGAACGCGAACGCGAACGCATAGTTGTGTTGGGTGTGCGTCCATTTCGCTGGGCTGGCCTTGCTTTCCTCCCACGATACCCTCCGCGCTGCCTTTACAGCAGCAAGCAGTACTGATCTCAGTCTCGTCCGGTGGCCGCGCCGTTAAATCTTACTCGACAATTCGTTACGCACTCGTCGTTTCGTTCGGGTCAGGTCGTGGCACCGAGAGGGGCGCGTGCATGCTCGCAAGGTCTCAAGATATGTTATCCCTCCCTTGTGGGTGCTGCACTACTGCACTCGAGTCTTTTCACTGCTCTTTTGTCTTGTGAGATCCTACCGAAACACGTTTTCCATTAAGGAAAACAGAGGTTTGCTAGAGAAAATGTACGTACGATTTATCATGTCTCTCACGTACTGAGATGAGTAATGCTACATGAC